GAAAATCAACACAATTGGGTTCAAACCTGCAAGTCCAAGACTGGCGGCGTTTCCCATTTGCTCACGTCGACGCTTGATGCTCTCCTGCTCCTCGCATTTTGGCAAGTTTTGGAACTCAAGCCCACTCTCGGGGTTTTCCACTTGACGGTCGGTGGCTAGGATTGAGATTCCAATCGTCATCACGTAAACGAGGAAGAATAAACGATCCAGGACAATCGCAAGAGTGCGCCATTCCATTGAGATCTGGTTTTTCTGGCTTGTCTCCTTCTGTCGGCTGACGAAGGCACGGATGTAGCTGCGAACCTCGCGCACGTCACGCTCCAGGCTGGTGGTGGATGGCATCAGGATTGGAGAATCTTCCGAGTCAACAGTTCCGAATGGTTGTCCCGGTCTCTTAGACATCGTGGGGTCACCTGGATTTCTTCGTATCATCGACTGCTTGGTATGGCAAGACTCTATGTGAAAAGGGATTTGGAATCATAGTTACGTTCGTGAAAACGCGCCTTCGCGTTTATTAATGCATTTTAGAGGGGGGGGGAAACATATATGCATAGTTATGAGTTACTGTACAATTGTGGGTTTGTACATTCGTGTGTGTGTGTGTATGTGATTATGAGGGTGGGAAAGTTAAAGTGCGTGAGTGTGCAAGGAGTGTGACTTGGAGGTGAGCTGCATGAGTAAGTCCTTTATTATCAAAAGATAAAGAAAGCCTTGAAGTCAACTTTGTATACTTACACCCCATGGCACAACCAAACTAAAAAGCATGTGATTTGACAAAAATCTAGCAAAATTCAAGGGTTCTCACTACAAGACTATTTTTCTGCATTCTCCAAACTAATTTTGGTATTGATGTTGGAGTACCTCTCAGTTTGTTTGAAGAGGCGACTCTTTTGAACTTAGTTTCTGTGCCTAATTTTGGTATTCTTCTATATGTATGACCTTCCCCCGCTCACAGATCCCCTCTCTGACATGTAAGATACATTGTCTCAATTGATGTGACCAACGGTACTATGAAATTTCTAAATGGGCTGTTACCGTGGCAGTCGAGATTCTGCAGGAAGCCATCCGATTGTTGGGCCAGCGGGTAAGGATGCATATGACCATAAAGCTGATGCTTGTGCATATGACAAGAGGGCCCAATTAATTGTCGTTGAGGCGGCTGATGTGAGTGATGATGATGATGGCCATAGTGATGACACGGACTATGCTGGTGAGCTTGTGCAACAGAGTGCGCAAGCCCGTGTTCGTGGCCTGACTGATGTAGTTCGTTGGGATGGTGATGGTGATGATGAATGGGGTCCGAATGATGGTAAGCGTGGCCCAAATGGTGGCTGTCCACTTGAAGAGCCTCCTTTTCCGCTGGTGTCATCATCATGCCACTTTGCCCATTGACGTGCAGGCCTCCTCCGGTCATTGACATGAGGAATTTGTTCGAGGTCAATTCAGGCACCTGGACTCGCCTACGAACCTTGCCACCGCCACTGGCTCCACCTGCACCAGTCCCTCCGCCACCGAGTCCGGATGCCGAGCGTCGATGCTTGACCATTTGGTTGGGAGGCTTTTTTTCTTCGGGTAGAGGAATAAATTGGCGCACGAGAAAAAGGCGTCCAAGACCCTCAACTACAAACTAACAATGCGAAATGAGGCAGGAAAGATGGGAGTCATATGAAGTGACAACATTTGTGCTACCAATGCCTGTGGTAGTTGGTGGTTTATATCTACAGATGACATTATTTCCATATTCGAACTGGATTTCGCGTTGATAGGCTGTGTCTGAAAAACTGTCTCCACCGTCTCCGCTTGCTTTCCTTTCCAAACGTGGCCTCCATCACGGACGCCATTTTGAAGACATTCATCTGACCTCGTTTTCGCAACTTGGTCGTATTGTCAGGGCGACTTAGTTGGATGCACCTTGTCCGAGGTCCTCTGTTATGGTAGTTATCGAAATTCCCAGAGTCGGACCGTGAACTTGATACATTCACAGACGCTTCGCTGGCATTGTCAGTTAATCTTGCCATTCTCAGCACGATGCCGGCAAAACGTCTGTGAATGTATCCAGTCCACGGTCCGACGCTGGGAATTTTGACAACTACCACAGCAGAGAAACTCTGACAAGATTCGTCCAACTAAGTCTCTCCGACAACACGAAAAGGTGGGAAAACAAGGTCAGCCCACTTGTATAGATTAAAAGGAGACTGCGACTATATCAAAGTATTGATGTTATATCGAATCATCACTCATAAAAGTCTCTGGAATCAGGATTTCCCAGATTCACTGAAGCAATAGAGCCCTTTCAAAACCAGATCAGAGGTATTGGATAGCCTTAGAGGCAGTAATTTCGAAGAGATGGACCCATCAATTGTATCATTTAAAGACTGTTTGACTTGCATTAAACTTTGGCAGGAGAGAGTCAACTCAGATCCCGATCCCGATCCCCATCTGATCCTGAATCTAGCCTTTAGTCAGATTTAAGTACAGGAAGTGACTTTAGATCATTATTTATTGTTTATTTCCACTCGTCTTATCATAATTGGCATCAAATTAGTCGATAATTTCTGATCGTAGTTCATTTAACTGGCTTTGGAGTTTGCAAACTGTTGGAATGCTGGACAGGGGCTGAAAGTGGTTTGAGTGGCTATTTTGTAGATACGAAGAGAAACTTGGTTTCGATGAATCTCATGACATAACATTGTTAGGAGGACCTGCATTTCGAATGAAAGTGCATGAAAAAGAGATTAGTCTGTCGATCTCACCAGAAAAAGAGGACGGATGAATCTCGTTGAACTGCAGCCGGTTGGCTTTTAGACGATATTCATGTTGACGCAGTCCACGAGACTTGCTCGCCCGTTTCGGGTGAAAACGTGCTGAGCTTTCGTCCATCATTCGATGGACATCATCAGAGCTGGGCGTCATTCTTGTAAAAGTCTTATGTTAACACTAAAGCAAGAACATTATCCGGCTCTATCTTACTTCTTATATAGACTCAATCGAGCCAAAATATTCAAAATTCAAAACCTAGATAGATCGATATAGAGTGGTTTGATTAATTTTCTTTCATACAATCAAGCAAAAATAACAGAACCAGTATGAAAGATAATTAGCCAAACCACTCTATATCGATCTATCTAGGTTTGGAATTTTGAATTTTTTGGCTCGATTGAGTCTATATAAGAAGTAAGTGTTCTTAATTTAGTTTTAATGCAAGACCCTTACAAGAATGAAACCCAGCTCTGATGATGTCCATCAATTGATGGAAGAAAGCTCAGAACGTTTTCACCCTGAACGAGGGAGAAGGTCTCGTGGACTGCGTCAACATGAATATCGTCTAAAAGCCAACCGGCTGCAGTACAACGAGATTCATCCGTCCTCTTTTTCTGGTGAGATCGACCGACGAATCTCTTCTTCATGCACTTTCATTCGAAATGAAGGTCCCCCTAACAGTGGCTATTTTCTCTATGGCTTGACACAATTTGTAAGGCTCAACTAGTTTGTATTTCCTTTTTTGTAGAGATACCTAGACGGAAAAACGCTATCAGAATTCATCTGAAATTATATTTGATTATTCTTCTGCTTTTTTTGCAAATGAAATGAAGAACACTTGAATTTAACTCATAATATAGTTACACGTCACAATTAGATGAAATAGAAATCAATGATTAAATTTGTTAGAAGTTCTGGATTCCGTCTCACCCCTAAAGACCATGTCTCACGAGCTTGTCACGAAGCGTAGTCAAGCTCAGCAGTCTTATAAATCCACCACAGATTTTGTCTGTTCTTGGGACGAGTGGATAGTGTTAATTTTCGGCTTTAGTCTCTAAGACGTAAGACTTATAGGCGCACAAGCTACGTATGACATGACAGAGGATGGACAATTTCGAGATAGCATATCACTCATGAGAATTCCCAGCGTCTTGGTGCATTCACAGATGTTTCGCCGGCACCATCAGTAAGTCTTTTTGGTCTTAGTACTGGATTAGAACTCGCCACCAGGACCAAGGAAGGTCCATCCTTTGGCCAAAGTTCGGCTGAAGGATTGTGATTGGCAAGAGAGTAGGACAGAATGACGAGCTGTAATCTTGTTCAAGGCGCGCAGGAAATAGCAACGGGACGTCTATGGATGTACCGAGTCAGCAATCCGGTGCTGGAAACTAACGTGACTACGATGGCAGAGGACGCCGGGAGAGGTAAGTTTTTCAATGTCGTCTTAACAACATGATCAAGGTATGCAAAAAAAGTTGGGCAAATTCTACACAACAAAAGTCATCTGTAACCAACAACGAGGCCACACTATCTTGGCCGTCATGCCTACTAGTGAACAGTGGATACGAAAAGTAACTGGGCTTCGATACATCTTCCGGCATAACATTGTTGGAGAGACTTTAATTTCGTATAAAAGCGCATAAAGAAAACACTCAAAGGTCGATCTACCAGAACTGGAATGCAGTTTTGTAAAAGTCTCACGTTAACACTAGATCAAGAAGAGTATCCGGCTCTATCTTACCTCTTTCATAGAATCAATTAAGCAAAATAAAATTAATAATATAGGATGTATCCACCCTATTTCGTTTAAGGTGATAAAGGACTAATAGTATAATTTTCCCACAATGATATGAGTTGAGCTGACGTTTCCATTTAATTTCCCAGAGCCTTGCTTTCCCAAAAGGTCTTCTCATATTACTGATTTACTGGTACTCTCGAAACTCTACTTACACACGAAAATTAATAGGCGGGAATAGACACATAATGGTTTTGCTACTTTGTTTAAGTGTGTGTGTGTGTGTGTTAGCGTCTGTATGCTATATAAGTCCTAAATTAAAGAAATCAAAAAAGTCTACTTTCAGGCTCTGGTCAGCAAGGCTTAATGATCCGAGAAAAAGACCTGACCGAGACTGCGTAAGTCTCGAAAGGCATGAATGCGGCTGCGTAATCTCGTACGTCCGATTTCGTTGATGAGCTTGACCTAACGTGTTGAACGAGTGTGAGTGAAGTTGGTATCTTCACTGGGCGATTAGTTGAGTCATCTTCTCCTGGAAGGTGGCTCAACACCCTCTCTCCCTTTCAATCTACCAATCAGGTATAAGTAGTTCTTGCTTAACTTTTACTACCTTTGCTCATATTCAACTTCTTTCTTAGACTATCACTTGCAATTGCCTCCTTTATCTTCCTTCTAACAGCAGACGTGTCAAGAGTAAGAACTATTTAGGCTAAACCTTAATCCTCTCAACCATAGTTGCTTACGGACAGAGCGTTTTATTGGGTCATTAAACTTTGAGGATCAGAGTCTGACATTAGTCATTTTATTTTGATCATCTGATTTAGCACCAGTATTGCCTATAGACGTCAACACACACGCACACAGACACTCGAGTAAAAGTAGCATGACCAATATGAAAGATAATTAGCCAAACCATTATGTATTTATCCATGTCTAAACATTTTCATTTTTTAGTTATGATTATATACAAAAGGTATGACACATCCGGACAGTCTTATCAATCTTGCCTTAACTTGAGACTTTGACAAGAATCAGTTCCAGCTCTGGTGAAGTACGAAAACTCAGCTCCTTTTCACCCGAAACGAGGGAGGATGTCTTATGGATCGCGTCAAACGGCCCTTCTCTGCTGGAGAGATCAACCTACGAATCTCTTGTTCATACACTTTCATACGAAATTCAAGTATCACCAACAATAATATACAGTACGCTGGTACATAGTCCTTACCCGTCGGAAAAATCTTGGCAATCTTCCATTTTTGTCGCCTCGAAAGTAAAGGTTCGTCACCATAGCTGCCTGAAAAGTCGACAAGGTGATGAGGATCAAGTTGAGGCAAACGAATGCACCTGAGGGAAGAACGTGTAAGAGAAATGCATAACATTGTAGGTTGTTAGAAAAAAAATAATTTCCGAGAGTATGTAGCAATAAAGTGGACGAATTTTGTTCAACACTTGGCTTTATGCATTGGAGTAGGTCATAAATCCCCAAAAACTTGCCTTCGCCTGAAAAGACTGCAATTTGTGGAAGTGGCTGTGATGAAAGTGGGAGTTTATTTTGTAAATGGATAGACAAATATGGCAACTCTAACCAAAAAGGGCTGTCGAAACGTTCGGTAAATAGTGTCATTCAGGAGCAACCAAATGCTTGACAATTAGATGGTTGTAGATTAATTAGTCCGCAACTCCTTGAAATTAAAGCAGTGATTTAAACAAGCAATAAGATCAGACGGGAAGCTTGATGATAGGTTTAGTCACACAGAATCCTGTTGAAAGAGACTTATTCTACAGCATCAGTAGAGCGAGACTTAAGGCTCATCTCCGTCTTGACTAGACATGCTAAGGTTTCGGTAAGTCGTGTAAGAGGATAAGTCTGGTTTCTAGGACGGTATGTGATGAAGAGATTGGAAAGACGATTTCCCCCCATGACGACAGCCCTTTCCGGTTAGTCAATTGTCGGTTGCCTTTTGAAGAACATTCTCGTTGACGCTGTCCCCAAAGCAATCTTCTTTGCGGCCGTGGAAAAGGTGCAAAGCCTTCAAAACTATGAAGAAAAACCGGGTGATATATTGTGACATGTCTTTCCACTTGACAGGAAAAGTTGTTTGGACTTAATTCGTGATGTTGTTGTATTGTGCTCACTGTCCTGCGACCTTTGTTAAGCTTTTGTCTGTACCTCCGTGACAGACATCATCAAAGCAAGAATGCATACTTTATGAAATTGTACAAAAATACAAAAAAAACCTTGAGAAAATATGACCGACTGCAAGTCTGGTCTCTTTTTTGTACCATTTGAGGTGTATAAAAAAGCGATTGGGCTTACAGCCGATCACATTTTCTCTTGATTTATTATATTTTTGATAAAGTTCGTAAAGCTCTGATGCTTTACAACAGCAAGTCAAGAAAACTCGCCGACTTATCCCCACCTTAAACCCACGCTTATTGATAAGATAAAAAGTAATTTGGTTATTTTTTGAATTAAGTATTGTTCTCGTGACTACCAGTAAATCAGTAGTATAAGATGTATTTACCCAATTTCGTTTAAGCTGATGAAGGACTGGTCGAAGAAGATGAGTAGAGCTGACGTTTCCATTGAATTTCACATAGCCTTGCTTTCCCAAAAGTTGTTTTAATCCAGAGTTGACTGCCATATCATATTCTTTTGGTGGAATTGCCGATGAAGCAAACGTATATCTGCTATAACAATCGACTAATATACTTTTATTTTTCGAATTAAGTATTGTTTTTGTGATTACCAGCAACTCGCATCGGTTTTATTAACACCCCCAGCGAGGTCGAAACTGCAGTCCACTCCGGCCGGGATGAGGACAACTTTTGGGAAAGCAAGAATGGAAGCGTCAGCTCAACTCATATGATTGTGGGAAAATTATTATTCTACCAGTCCTTCATCACCTCAAACGAAATTGGATGAATGCATCTCATTTGGTTAGTTCAAGTCATATCACAATCTAGAGGCATGTTTGCGTGAATGTGTTTGTGTATGTTTATTTGAACTCATGTTTGCGTGCACTCACGAAGCTTTTGCATTTGTTTATTGCAGGTAAAGGGAAGGAGAGAGAGAACTGTATTGTACATAAGTCGTATAGTCGTGGTTACTACCATGGCCTTGAAATTAAACCTATTGCTCAATTTGTCAATTTTGATGGAGTCTAGTTTTGGTCATGACCGTAATGATACCATAATTAGCGAAATGACACGATTTGACCATTCAATCTCATGTCCACTTTCGATTGCGTTGTCACGCTCTCTTTACTCTTCGAGCACAACAGCCTCTTCAGGCACTTTTGCGTTAAAATACATTTTCTCGTATCAGATCTCCGGCATATCAACCTGGCTTGGATGATGCCTCAACTTCCAAAAAGTAGGGAATACTCAGTTTATTGTGGCATGACTCTCCATTTGGAAGGGAAAGTTGGTTGGGATGAATTATTGGTGTGGTCTCATCGGAAGCCGACGGAGGATTGCCACGTAAAGAAGACTGTTGAATTGTGCGAAGAATTGAATGAACGAGTGTATAAAACTAAGTGGCAACTTTTTGTGATTGTTGGATAGACTTAAGGAAAGGAAGAGAGAAAGGTTGCAGAAAGAGCCGTTGAGCAAGAGAAGGAGGCTGGATTAGCCTCGAGTCTAGCTGGGACTATCACAATTCCCATGACATACACACAAGAGACAATAGCAGTAGCCCAAACATGCGTGAACACTTGAGCAGAGCAGACCAGTTTATGTGTGCAAGGAAACAGTTGGCGCCCAACTCACTTCCGGTTCGGGAAGTAACTTTATTCATTTGCAAGCATGTAGAGTAAGGTTGTTTGACCGTGTTTTCGCAACTTGGTCATGTTGGTAGGACGACTTGTCCGGAGTCCATTGTCTGCATGATCATTTACAAAGTTAAACCGTGGACGTGGTCTTCATACCTTCCATGAAGTAGCCAACCAAATCATGCGATGCTTCATTACGATCGCGATGTTGTGTGTATA